TGAAGTTTTCTTTATATCCTTTTCAGATTGTTCACTATTAGAATATATAAAGAAACAGATTTGTGTTGTATTGATTTTGTATCTTGCAACTTTACAGAGTTTAATAGTTTCAGCAGTTTTCTTGTGGAAACTTTTGGACTTCATAAGATCATGTCTCCTTTGAACCAGAGATCCTTCCCTTCCAATTCATATGCCCTTTTCTTCCCTAATTGCTCTGGTTAAGACTCCCAGTTGTTCAAAGAAAATTTGTGAAAGCTGTCAATCATATCTTGTTCCTGATCTCAGAGGAAAAGCTTTTCCCTGTATGCTGTTAGCTGTGTACCTTTCTTTTGTAGCCTTCATTAAGTTGTGGTATTTTCCTTCTATTCCTCCTTAATTTTAGTGCTTTTATTATGAAATGGTGTTGAGTTTTGCTGATGTTTTTTGCACCAATTAAAGTGATCATCCGGGGTTTTTCCTCATTTTGTAAATGTGTAGTATTACACTGATTTTCATGTTTTCAAATTATCTTTTATTCTTATTATGCATGACAGCAGAATGAGTTTGACACATTATACATACATGGAATGCAACTACTAATTCTTTAGATTGTACCTGATGATTTTCATTTTTTTAAGTTATACAAGGATACAATATCTTCATTTTTTAAAAAATGTGGTGCTGAAGATCAAACCCAGTGCCTCACATGTGCAAGGCAAGCACTCTGCCACTAAGCCACACCCTCAGCCCTGATTTCACCATCAATGCAAGACCATCCTTGCATTCCAGTATTAAATCCCACTTGGCAATGATGTATAATCTCCTCCCCCTCCCCCTCCCCCCTAGGGATTTAACTCAGATGTAGCTTCACCACTGAGTTACATCTCCAACCCTGTTTTAAAGTTTTAAGACAGATTTCACTAAGCTGCTGAGTGCCTCACCCTCCCAAGTTGTTGGGATTAGACGTGTGCCCCCACACCTGACAGTATTTCTACTGTTTGAATATCTACATGTCAGTGTATAATCCTTTTACTTTATTGTTGAAATCTATTACAGTACTTTCTTGAGGGTTTTTTAAGTGATTTTTCTCCTGCTGCCATGGAAACATTATATGTAAGAAGACTTTGCTGGCAGTTTGTGTCCATGTGGGTCTTTGGTGTATCCTACTTGGAATTCATTTAGCCTTAAATGTTTACATTTTCACGTCTTCAAATCTGGGAAGTTTACAGCCGTTTGGTTTTCAAATACTCTCTCCCCCTTTCTGCCCGCCCCCATGTGTGTACATTGGTCAGCTTGATGGGGTCCCATCGACTGTTCACTTTCCTCCTTTTTTGCTGCTCTCAGTAATTTCAAGTGCTCTGGCTTTACATTCACTGGTTCTGTGTGATCAAGTCTATTGTTGAATTTGTCTCATGAATTTTTCAATCCAGTCATTTTATTTTTCAGCTCCAGAGTTTGGTTTTTAAATTTCTATTTCTCTTAATATCCTCATTTTGTTCAACAAATCATTCTCCTGATTTCATTTAGCTGTCTGTCCGTGTTCTAGTTTACCTCACTGAGCATATTTAAGACCATTTGTTAAATTCCATGCCAAGTATACAAAGGTCTGTTTCTCTAGGTTTGACTTCTGCAGATTTACTTTGTTCCTCATTTCTTTTTTCTTTTTCTTTTGTTGTTTTATGCCTTGTGACCTTTTGCTCAGATTTGGGCATTTACAAACACCTGGTGGCTTAGAGCAGAAAAAGAGCTTCAGTAATAACTCAGCCTAGTAAAGGCTTATGGCCCTCCCCTCTTTGGTCATGTACTTTCCCTGGAACTGCGTGTGTGTCCTCATGGTTATTTACTTGTACTGTATTGTGCTGTCCAGTGTTACCTTTTCTTCTGCTTGTCACCTTCTTACTGCCCCATGCACCCAAGACCTGCAGGCGACCTGTGCTCTAGTGGAACACCCACCTCACATCCAGCTGTGCCAGTGTTCCCATCGTTGAACCAGCAAGACAGAAACCAGTCCTTCTGGTATCCCTGGACAAGCCTCAGAGTTACAAGCAAGTTCCACTTTATTCCAGGAGTCTCAAGGGAGAAACAGAATTGGGTTTCCCCACACTGCTTCAGGGGAGGATGGTGCACAGGGAAGCAACATGCCATGAAATTCCTACACTTTTTGAGTGTGGCTGTTTCTTGATGAGGCATTTCCTTGGTTGCTGCTGCTTGATTTTTGAGTTTTCACAAAGCTATTTTGATCTGAATGTTGTTTATTCCATTTCTTCAAGGGGCAGTGAGGGCCTAGAGCTTCCTATCTACCATCTATCTTGCTGACGTCACCTGTCTCGTTTCTTGTATAAAATTTAATGTCCAACCCAGCAACTGAAGAGACTGAGGCAGGAGGATCACAAGTTGCATGCCAGCCTCAGCATCACACCACCCTGCCTCCAAAAATAAATAAATAAGGACTGGGGATGTAGCTCAGTGGTAAAGAATCCTTGGGTTCAATCCCCAGTACCAAAATAACAATAATGATGATAAGAATTTTGTTGACATTATGAAATTGGTAAAATAAGGAGAATGAAATTCAAACACCATAGAAAGGCATGAATTGAAAACTGTCTTTTTATTCACTTCCCAAGCATCTTTCCCACTGCCTAAGGATGAGCCTCTTAACAGCCAATGTGTTTTGAGTTACCTCAATTCTAAATAATGCAGGCACACTTCATACCCTGATTCTTCAAATTGTACTAATGATTTTTTGGGAGAGGATACCCGGCTCCCCACCTTATTTCTACTTTTTAATCTATCTCTGGTGAATAACTTCTATTTACACCTATGAATTTTTAATAGAAGTCTGATAACTTTTTTATTTTTATTTTAGTTGTAGATGGACAAACACAATACCTTGATTTATTTAGTCTATTTACTGCCTGAGGATTGAACCCAGAGCCTCACGCAAGCCAGGCAGGCGCTCTACACTGAGCCACAACCCCAGCCTCAATTTCCTTTTGGATATGTCTGCACTGCTTTGATTTTTCTGCTAATATTCATTTTGCTGAGAGGAAAAACAGTTTGTTCAATATCAAGATCATCATTCTTTCAGCACTTGCTAGAAAGCCCCAAGGCAGACACTCAAACCTTCTTACTCAGGGAAGGATGACTTCTCTAAATGAAAGGATCCCTTTTGCTGGGCATCAAAGGCAGACCAGCTGGAAAACTAACAGATGGCGGGCATGCAGAACACGAGGGCAGAGGGCAGGGGGAGCCTAGGGTGCATGTACCTTGGAGAAAGTATTTAAAACAAACAAAATAACAACAAACCTTATCTGGAGAACATTGTAAAAACCAAAAGCTAGAATGCCAAAATAGGAAGAGATTGAGTCAAGTCATTTAATGGTTTCAATTCTGGCCCATTCTGGTTGGAGACAATAAATGGCTCCCAGGTTTGCTAACAGTGTACTTTAAGTAGAGGGAATAAATTCCTTTTTGTATCACCTTTTTTTTTTTTTTTTTTGAGTTTTTTTAAAGTTTCAAGAAATTGCGGGCTGTCTGACACTATCTTTTCTGGATACGCTTTTGTGGTTATGTGCCCTCTCCTCAACATGTTTCATGTCTTTTAAAAAACAAAGTGCTTGGGGCTGGGGTTGTGGCTCAGAGGTAGAGCGCTCGCCTAGCGTGTGTGAAGCACTGGGTTAAATCCTCAGCACCACATAAATGTAAAATAAAGATACTGTGCAAACCTACAACTAAAATATAAATTTTTTAAAAGGTGCTTGATATACCAGCATCAATTTCTTCAGATAATTTCTTCATAATTGGGATAGAGGTCTGAATATTAGAATGTCAAAATGTTATTTTGTAAAGAACCTTTTTTTTTGAGGGACAGGGTACGGAGGATTGAACCCAGGGGCACTTTACCACTGAGGTATACCCCAGCCCTTTAATTTTTTGAGACAGAGGTCTCACTAAATTGTCAGGACTGGCCTCGAACTTGCAATCTCCTATCTCAGCCTCCCAAGTTGCTGGGGATGACAGGAGTGCACCTCTGCACCAGGAAGAACTTCATTTTGACAAAAGTCATAAAAACTAAAAAAGAAAAAAATTACTCTTTCCTAATATTTTCCTTACTGAAATCTCTATTTTCAAAATGTGTGTGGCAGTTCTCATGATAAAGGTGACCTGACTGGCCTGTCCTTAGTGTCTAGCCACTTAAGTACCTCACCAGCCTGTGCATCCATCCCCATGCAACTCCATGTGGCCCTAAAGCAGGGCTAAGCTGTGGCCCCACACTGCAGGTGCTGTCCTGTGCCTCGCAGGCCACTCAGCCACCTCATGGTTTCCACCACCAGATTTGCTGTCTCACTCTCAAGTTGTGGCAACCAAATCAGGATCTCCTGACATTGCCAGCTGTTCCCTGGGGAGTCACCACCCCTATGGGAAACACTGTCTTAAGCTATTCTAGGAAGCAACTCTGTAACTCCCTAACATTCTGTGGTGACAGTGTTCTATAACTTAGTGATATGGTGGCGATAGCCACATGATGCTATTAGTACCTGGAACATGGCAGCATGAGGAATAAAATTCCTGATTTCATTTTAAGTTATTTAAACCCTACAAAAATACTTCTTTTGAATACCTTTTTTAAAAATCAGATGTGGCTGACTGGCAATTGAACGGGGGGGATATGATAGAACCTCAGTTCTACTCCACAGAAGGCAGGAAGATTATGGGGTGGGCCAACATGCCCCACATTATTTCTGCTTTTAACCTACCTCTGGCAAAAAAAAAAAACTTTCATTCCATCTTACATTAAAAAAATATATATATAGATGAAGTCCTAAGTTTCATTCTGAGTAGGCATAGGTTAAATTATATAGTAAAGTTTGAAGTTAAAAATCACAGACAATTTTAAATCCTCTTTTGAAGCAAAAAATGATGAACTGTTTTTGCATACGAGTTATACCACTGAAAACACAAGAATGCTAGAAAGGTGTCCTAAGTAAGTGTCCAACAATTCCTGGAATGAAATGGAAAAATCAGGAGTGAAAGAAAACATTTATTGAATCAAAATCAATACTTTCTTTTTATTATCTACAAGCCAACACTGAACTCACTTTATTTAAGAATGAACACAATGTACAAAAAAAGTATGCTTATATTATAAAAATATGTCAATTTTATCTTCTGGGTGCTGAGCAGAAGTTATCTTAAACAAAATCAAGGCAAACTTATTCTCTATAATGAAACTGCTATAATTTAATGACAGTGAAGGCTCGTGTACTCACAAAGGGCTCTCCGGCCCACTGACTATGCTGCCCTCCGAATGCCGAGCCCAGGTCCCTGCAGTCGGCATCCTCACTCTGCTTCTTGGCACCGCTTCATGCCTACGTCGAGGGAAGTACCTCTTCTACAGAATGCAGATCACTACTAATAAGACGCACGTGATCAAATCTTCATCTGGTTTCCCTTAACAGCTGTTAGCATATATTTAAGCAAAGTATTAACAGCATAATGAATTTGGAGTACAAAAATCCTACTTATTCAACTAACTTCAGTTTAAAAATGAGATGTTCCTAAGGAGAACAAATGACCTCCCAAGGCTTCAAATCCCATTAACGCAGGTGGGAATATCGCCTCTCTCCTCTCAAATATTCTAAGCCTCCATAAAATATTTATGTCCAAAGTTAATATCTTTGTAACTTTTATTTCTTGATTTTATTGGCACCTTCCCAGGCACTCCTGGCATGTGCTCTTGTGTACAGTGTAATTACTGTGCCTGTGAGGTCAGCGGCAGCTGTAGGACAGTTAGAGGCTGAAGAGCCCAGCCTTTGGCTTACCCTGGAGATAGACTCCAACGCTCACTGGTTTTGGAGCAAGAAAAGAGAGCAATAGAATAGAATAAAATAAAATCATGAGTTGGATAAAAGGGACAGTGGCTCCCTGCATCATTCTAGGAGTTAACTACTAATTTTAAAAGCTAAAATGAATCCATGCTGATAATGCCAAAAAACTGCAATCCTTCTTACAGGGCTTGCCCACAGCAGTGTTCCTGGCAGGAACCCGACTCTGACTGAGGAAAATGACAGTGGGACCCAGGCAAGTTCCAGAATTTGATCTTCACTAATGAAACTTCAACAGATGCTGTGCTTGAGACTGACACCTAAGAAGGCTCAAAATTGCAAAACACAAGAATCAAGCACTCTGGTGTTCTACTCTATTGGGTAAATTAAATTTAGAACAATTAGGGGAGACATGCTTTCATGTTGTTTTGCCTACATAAATCTAACATGTCTTTAGTTTCCTGTTTCACAAGAACCTGGGACCAAGGTAAGGGAAAAGGGATAAATGAAGTTAGAAAAGAAAGTGGTAACCGTTCCTCTGTGCAATGGACTAATTCCTTACAGCTGAATTTTTAATTAAGCCCCCTTCTGCTGCATGAAATATTAATCCTACCAAGGTAGTTCAGCCTAAATTGGACATAGGATTTAAACATTCTAATAACACAAACCACTGCCACTGCTATAATTGGGAAGAGGAAATATTTGAAATACACAATTTATAAAAGATAAACACATTTTGGAACCTGAGCAAAGGCTTCTTACCAATACCATAAAAAGCCACCATATAGGCTGCCTTCATCAGCAGTGACTCCACCAGGTCAGTGTGTTGCTCTTGGCAACACCCAAGGCCCCCAAAATATGCAGAACACAGAAAGTCCAATGACTCTGGTGCTCTGCTATTAGTAGCACAGGCCGTAAGTTCAACGTGCTGCTAGCAGAAACAACTGGATGCCAAAATATTAAACATGAAATGAAAACAAGTGCACAAAGAATGAACAGCTAATGGGATGGAGCAACTCACTCAGACTGGATGAGAGCTCTGATCCAGCATCCAGATGCAGACCCACCCCTCCTCAAAACCACAGGGCCTTGCTCTCAAAATAAATATACCAAACATTTACAACAGAAAGAATGCCTTATGAATGCAAGTTTTTCTTATTGCAATTCTAATCAAATAGGCCAAAAAGTCATACTTCTAAAATAAGCTACGAAGTTATCTTTTTTTTTCTGTGAAACTGATGTGACTTGGTGCCACAGCTGAACGCCATCTAATAGCAGCAGTATCATTAGCCCATGGCAGCAAGGAAACGTTAACTCTGGCATCCCGTGGGCTCCCATCAAAGCAACTCCATAAAGCATGCAGAGACCTATTCTGCTGAAGTTTCAAACAAACAAAAATGACCATTGTGCTTGTGTGTCTCACATCTTCCAAAATATACACACATAGTGACAAGTTAGCAATAGCAGATCTTTGTTTACCAGTGAAATCATAAGGCAGAGGGGGTTGGAGGTGGAAAGAAAACGTCTACAATGGAAAAAATTACAAAATGGTGCTAGCATTCACGAAAACAAATAAAAATCATGCTAAGATCAGATCCACATTGATTAAACGTTGAAAATTCAGCTACGATCCAAAGAACTCAGTCCACGAGTCCAAAGGCATGCACGCCAGCGGAGAAAAGGCGGGATCCGCTTGACAGTATCTTCTTCAGAGCAGAACAGCAACATCTCACTGGAGTAATCACAGAGGGTGAATAAGATGCCATCGCACTTCTTTTTTGTAATTAAAAATAAAATAAATGCAATCACAAGACAAAAAAAATTATAGTAGACAGAAAAATATAGAAATTCACAATGACCTATAAAACCAAAAGAAAAATTCAAATTATTTTTATATTTTCAAGGTTCACCCTTCTTAGTCGTCATAGTCTTTTTAATTTGAAAGCTTATGAATGATTCATAAACAATTAAGTTAAATATAAGATTACTGCACTACTCATGAGATTATCATGATACCTACAGTATCAATATTCAAAATGACAGTTTCATTTTTATGTAAGGACACAAGAAGCCGCATCTTGTCACCAGAATCTCAGGCAAAAGCTTCCTCCCCAACTTTGATGTTTTAAAGCATTTAAAATTCTTCATAAGGAAAACAACACCCAAAACTTATATTCAAAATACAATAACTGTCTATGCCCATCCCTTTAAACTTTTAGCTGAAGAAATTATTTTTGCTTTTCTAAGTTTGCAGTTGAAGAAAAATAATAAAGAACAAGACCCATATTTTTAACCCGAGGCTTAAAGCAAGGCTGTTGTTGCCACATCAGCCTGTGGCCCCCCAGCTCTGAGTACTCACTGGGGAAGGACCCAGGGCTATCCCGCCTTCGTGTCCACAAGCTGCATCTGCACATTGGCAGACATACCACCTCCGTACCCTCCCTTGGACTGCATCTGGTTCTGAATGGAGCTAACCTGCGAGACAAAAAAGACAGAAGTAAGAAACCAGGTGTCCAGTGCAACAATGAAACCACTGTTTTCCCAACATGTTAGCTGGGCTGCTTTTGTCAGAAGGACACTTTTATAGAGGAAAAAAAAAATTTTTTTCTGGTGAACGTCAATATCTTCTGATTATAAGGACAAATGGTGAGGCTTGTAATTGAGAGCCTTTTTTTTTTTTGTGATAACTTCTTCTACTTTAGTTTCTCTATTTCCCAGTTTAAATAATTTTTAAAGAAATGTCAGCTTAGTAATGCACAAGGTGCTTGGTAACATTTAAAAAGTAGTTTCTTCACTTGAAGACACCTCAGATACATGACCACTTCTTAGACCAGACTCTGAAGCAAGAAAATAAGCATGAATGAAACTGGACCAGCCAGAGATAAATCTTCAAGTCTATGTGCAAAATGTATGGTCTTAATATATAGTCTGACAGAGAATCTAGGAATTCAAAGATAAGTTTATTTATTAATCTTATAACTGGACAAACTATCTTCTTAGAATATATGGCTTCATATCTATACAGTGGTTAAGATCATAATCTCTCCTAACCACATTTCAAGGCTATTTTCTGATAGACTGCATATTGGCAGACATACCACCTCCATACCCTCCCTTGGACTGCATCTGGTTCTGAATGGAGCTAACAAAATATCATAAACTAAAATATACAAACACAGGAATATTTTCTTACTTTGTTGTAATACACACACATACATACATACACACACACATGCACACACACACACATACAGAGTCTTTTGCAAACTGTGAAGCACTTTATTTATTTATTTTGGTGGTACTGGGGATGAATGAAACCCAGTGGTACTCTACCACTGAGCTACATCTTCAGTCCCTGCCCCCATTTTTCTTAGTTACTCAGGTTGGCCTTAAACTTAACATTGTCCTACTTCAGTCTCCAAAGTAGCTGAGATTACAAGCATGTGCACCACCATATCTGGCTAGTTTATATCATTTTCATTCATATAAATCAGAAATATTTTGGAAGCAGAGAATTAGAAAATCAGGTCAGGCTACTGGAAGAAAAAACACAATAAGATTTGAAGGCGATAGCCATGCAGTGAAGGGTCAAAACACTGAGTCTCATCAAGTATCATGAAATCAGCTCAAAGGGCCATTCCCACTGCCAAGATCTAGGGGAAGGGGAGGAAACAGGGCCACTGTTCTTCATTAACCTATTTACCAAGTGCTTCCTGAGCACTTACTGTAACATAAAGCATGATCCTGAATTTATTATGTTTAAGAAAGACTTTCCTGAATGTTTTTGGAGTAAGGTTTAGAATATGTTAATAGAAGAGAATAGTAATATATAAAAGACACATCTTGTTTAGATCCAAAGGATTTAAATAATAAACTCTGTGTTAAATGAATATATTTTTTTAATATTTATTTTTTAGTTGAACACAATACCTTTGTTTTATTTATTTTTATGTGGTGCTGAGGTTCGAACCCAGGACCTCGAATGTGCTAGGCATGCACTCTACCACTGACCCACAATCCCAGCCCTAAATGGATGCATTTTTATTGATCTGGAAAATTTTTACTAATTTGAATATATTACTCTAATGATACCACATAATAAGGTATTACTGCAGTATCTGTATTCACATTATTCAAATAGCAAATTTAGGTAAAAGTATAAACAAAACCCTCTAGTCCTATTTTTAAACTTTATATTATACGTTTTATGTGTGATGTGTTGTGTAACTGTATCTTATATTTTACTTTTTTTTTTTTAAAGAGAGAGTGAGAGAGGAGAGAGAGTGAGAGAGAGAGAGAGAGAATTTTTTTTTTAATATTTATTTTTTAGTTCTCGGCGGACACAACATCTTTGTTGGTATGTGGTGCTGAGGATCGAACCTGGGCCGCATGCATGCCAGGCGAGCGCGCTACCGCTTGAGCCACATCCCAGCCCCTATTTTTTAAATTTATTTTTTGGTACCAAGGATTGACTGCAGGGGTACTTTACCATTGAGTCACATCTCCAGTCCTTTTTAAAAATGTTTTATTTTAAGAACTATCACTGATACTTTTAAGAAACTGGCTGACTTATCTTTCTGACCACAAGAACTCAACGTTCTGTGGAGGTGGCATCACTTTGGCGACGACAAACTCACAGATAACTACAAAAAGCCTTTGGAAGACAAATTTGGTTCTAAAGAGCTGACACACTTGATAAAAAGTCCCAGAGAAAAAGCACAGAAGGAAAGGTGACATGTTAATGTAAGATTTTGTGCATGTATAGAAATATCATAGTGAAATCTACTAAATTGTCTGTTAATATATGTTAAGAAAAGAAAAAAGGAAATCCCAGTGATCTGACCCTGTAGGTTAAAACCTGTGCAATAGCTGATGTCCACCTTATCCTCATCTTGGGCTAAGAAGATGGGACATCTAGCCCCCAGTGTAATCCTAAAATTCCACCTAAGTTTATGACAAGCAGAAGAGTTGTGTATCTACAACATAATTTTCACTCAAAGAAATCTTAAAAGAAAATTCTGAAATGTGCAGAGGCAAGATTTAAAAGGTTAACAAAATATCATAAACTATAATTTAATTCCTCCTCTAGTTATATTGGGGGGTGGATACCAGGGATTGAACCCAAGGGTGTTTAACCACTGAACTACATCTTCAGCCCTTTGTATTTTTTGAGTCAAGGTCTCACTAAGTTGCTGAGGCTGGCTTTGAACTTGGGATCCTATTCCTCCTGAGCCACTAGGATTACAGGTGGGCACAATCATCCCCAGTTTATAGTTAGATTTTTTTTTTAAAGACTGATGTAGCTAAGAAGACATCTGTTGATAATAAATTAAGAATTAAGATTCATCATGTAATAAATCTTTTTTGGGGGGAGGGGGGGCTGAGGATTAAACCAGGGCCTTGTACATGTAAGGCAAGTACTCTACCAAATGAGCTGTATCCCCAGCCCAAAAATCTTTTATTTTATTTATTTTTTTTTGGTGGTGGTGCTGGGGATTTAACTCAGGGCCTTGTGAATGCTAGGCAAGCACTCTAGCAACTGAGATAAATTCCCAGCCCTCATATAATAAATCTAAAATCACTCATTCTGTACACATGGATACATAATTATATATTAATAACCATATTAGGGCTGGGGTTGTGGCTCAGCAGTAGAGCACTTGCCTGGCGCATGCGAGGCCCTGGGTTCGAACCTCAGCACCACATAAAAATAAACAAAACAAAGGTATTGTGTCCAACTACAACTAAAAAATAAATTTAAAAAAAAAAATAACCATATTAATCAAAGTAATAGGTTTTCGCTCCATGGTGTTTTTTTTTTTTTTAAACTCCATGTCAATATGTCAATCCAGGAAATAAAAACAAAAACACCTTTTTTTTTTTTTTTTTTGGGTGCTGGGGATAGAACCCAGGGCTTTGTGCATGTGAGGCAAGCAAGCACTCTACCCACTGAGCTGAATCCCTAGGCCCCACTGACACTTTTTTTTTTTTTTTTTAAAGAGAGAGTGAGAGAGGAGAGAGGGGAGAGAGAGAGAATTTTTAATATTTATTTTTTAGTTCTCGGCGGACACAACATCTTTGTTGGTATGTGGTGCTGAGGATCCAACCCGGGCCGCACGCATGCCAGGCGAGCGCGCTACCACTTGAGCCACATCCCCAGCCCCCCACTGACACTTTTGACAACAATACTGACACACTTATATTTCTATAAAAGCAGAAAAGTGAAACAAAGTACTTTTCCTACAGATTTAAAACAAATAAGTTACTTCCTTTTCAGGAAGCTACAAATGTCATTCCTTTGCTTACCTAGTAACTGAAGTCACAAAAAGGTCTGCTGTATCCAGGATATCCATCCACCTATTGTAAAAGTCCCTGTTCTTTGGTTAAGTCTTTTGTTAGTGCTGTCTAGTGAGTCAGAATATGATGAATCATAATTCTGATTTTATAAAAGTCTTTCTGACTTTCAATCTGAACACTCAGAAATCACCTAGACTCCTGTTTACTTTAGACACAGGGAAAAGAGGGCATTAGACCTAGGGAAGGCTGAGCCTGATAACAACCCTCATTTGGTATTGTCCCTGCATTCTGTTTTTTTCTGAAGAATAAGGCCAGGCACAGTGGTGCACGCCTGAAATCCCAGCAGCTTGGGAGGTTAAAGCAGGAGGATCACAAATTCAAACCCACCTTCAGCAATTTAGTGAGGTGCTAAGCAACTCAGTGAGCCCTGTCTCTAATAAAATATAAAATAGGGCTGGGGATGTGGCTCAGTCGAGTTCCCCTGAGTTCAGTCTCTGGTACCCAAAAGAAAAAACAAAACAAAACAAAACTGAAGAATAAAGCCAGGCATGGTGGTGGTGCATGGCTATGGAGGCTGAGGCTCAGGAGGCTGAGGCTCAGGAGGCTGAGGCAGACGGACTGCAAGCTTGAGGCCAGGCAACTTAGTGAGATCCTGTCTCAAAAAATAAAAAGAATGTGGAGATGTCGCTTAGTGGTAAAGTGTTCCTCGGTTTAATTCTGAGTATCTATATCCACCCATCCCCTAAAAGGGGGGGGGGAGGGTATGAATCTATCACATGACCATGTCCCAAGGCCCTGTGTGCACATTCTACCAACATACTTACTGAATTCATCCCACTGAACAGGTCTCCTGATCCTACATGAGCAGTGTGTACGAAGTTGGTTGGCTCTCCAATCATGCTTCGGTCAATTCGTCGTCGTCTTTTCTAAAACAATATGGGAAACAATGTATTGAGAAAATGATCTTACTAAAAAGAAGCTTATGACAGATTCTTAGACTATGGTAAATGACTTTGCTTAGTAATATCATAAATTTTTCTACAACACAAAAACACCTAACTTAGATGACCATAATTACTTCTTATTAAATCCCTAGTACACACACACACACACACACACACACACACACACACATATAAAGCAAAATAATGGGTTATTATTTTGAACTTTGGGCCATTCCATCCATAACTACATTACATGTTTTCTTTTTTTCATGACAGATGGGCAATGTGCAGGAGCTGTAAAACAGATTGGGGGAAGTGCATCTCAAAACAGCCCAAAACCGGGCTGGGGATGTGGCTCAAGCGGTAGTGCGCTCGCCTGGTATGCGTGCGACCCGGGTTCAATCCTCAGCACCACATACCAACAAAAGATGTTGTGTCCGCTGAGAACTAAAAAAAATATTAAAAATTCTCTTTAAAAAAAAAAAAAAGCCCCAAACCCCAATCATAATACTTTTTTTTTTTTTTTGACTGGGGATTGAACTAAGAGGCACTTAACCACTGAGTCACATCCCCAGCCCTTTTTTATATTTTATTTAGAGACACAGTCTTGTGGAGTTGCTTAGGGCCTCGTTAAATTACAGAGGATAGCTCTGAACTCACGATCCTCTTGTCTCAGGCTTCCAAGCTGCTGTGTTTACAGGCATGCACCATTGTGCCTGGCTTTAAATTTGATTCTTTAAAAAAATGAGATCAAAAAGCCCAAAGAGGGCTAGGGGTGAACTCATGCTTGCCTGGCATGCCTGACGCCCTGGGTTCCATACCTAGCACAGGTAGAAGAAAGGATTTTGAAAGATTTCACCATAAAGAAATGATAAAGGGGCTGGGGATGTGGCTCAAGCAGTAGCTCGATTGCCTGGCATGCGTGCGGCCCGGATTTGATCCTCAGCACCACATACCAACAAAGATGTTGTGTCCGCTGAGAACTAAAAAAATAAATATTAAAAATTCTCTCTCTCTCTCTCTCTCTCTCTCTCCCCCTCCCTCCTCTCACTCTCTCTTTAAAAAAAATGATAAAAATTTGAGGAGATAAATATTTAATCTGATTAAACATCAGGCAATGTATACATGTATCCAACATTAACTGTTACCCCATCAACATGCTCAATTTTTACATTTTTAAAGTATCAGTTTAAAATACATTTTAAAAAAATGTGACAAAATGTAAAATTTTCATCAGTCATCATTACTGTTAGCAAAGAATACATGATTTGCACACAACACTGACTTTAAACTTAATTTCCTAGCTTTCATCACAAACAAAACTTTGATGGCTATTAGAGATTATGCCCAGCTACCTTTCCCCACTAAAGTGATTGTATCATTCAGCTGTCTTGGGGTTGGGAGTCAGTCCATTCAGTTTTCTGGTCTGTTCTGGCCCAGAGGGAAACTCAAATGAGGCTGGGGTTTAATGACTGTCGTTAATTGTTGACAACCACTTCTTACATGGTTCTTGACCTTGTTTCTCTATGAACAGCCTCCAATTGCTGTCCTTCTCCCACCAACATCCCCACTCACTCTCATTAGAGACATTTTCTTATCCTGCTGCTGTGTTTCACTGACAAGCTATCTTTCTAGAGATGGTTCTCTTAGATCAGATCCAAGCTTTCCTTGATGCCTCAGATACCGCACTCTAATTGGGAGGGGCTTGCTGGCACTGCTGGTCACCACTTATCCCAACTGACTTCCAAGAGTATAATGTTTGCAAGACTGCAGTTTGCCTCAACACTAAGGCAAGTTACTAACATACTGGGTTAGGCTGCTGTTGAACACAGTATTTTCATGTCCACATCTTATTGAAATGTCGGCAGGATCCTAATAATTCTAAAATTTCATCAAGACAGTCCCATGTAATAGCTCCTCTGGGTCAGAACATGATTGTCTACAAACTCACAAAAGTGGAGAGAGTTCACACATTAATTGTAGAAGCTATTATGTGCTGTTTACTATCCTCTAGTTTTTATTATTAGAAGCCCCAAAGAAGCTTGACGCTTTTCCTCTGAAATATTTATTCTTCTCCTCAGAGTTCAGCAATGATATTGTGACATCTTCAAGTTTGTTGGGTTTACTTCCAGTAATTCTGCATAGCACATGGTGGCCCATCTCTATCTGAATACACATTTTCTGAATCTTTTGAGTTTTATGCTATTACATTTCTTTTTTGCTCCATGTGTTCTGTCTTATGTGTGTGTGTGTGTTTCTGTGTGTGTGTGTAATTATCCTAGTTGCTTTTCTCTTTATGATTTGTTTTGGAAAATAACTTGATCCCCTCAGGAATCCACAAACTTTTTCTTTAAGACCAGAGGGTAAACATTTTAAGCTTGCAGGTCAATGAAGACTCCATCATTGCTCTGACTCAACTCTTCCGCTATAGGATGAAATCAGCTAAGATAACACACAAACACAAGAATGCAGCTATGATCCAGCAAAATTCATCTGTAATAAGCAGCAGCAGCTTAGACTGACCTGCATGTATTAGTTTGCTGACCTCAGTTCTAGATCAGTAATTTTTTTAGTAGTAGCAACATAAATTATTTATTTGTTATATGCAGTACTAAAGATTGAGCCCAGGGCCTCTCTACCACTGAGTTACATCTCCAGTCCTTTTTTTTTTTTTTTTTGAAATAGGCCTGGCCTCACCCTTGTGATCCTCCTGCCTCAACCTCCCAAACTGCTGGGATTCCCCGCATATGCCAATGTACCTGGCACAACTTTTATCTTTTATGGTTATTTTTCAAGAGCTCTTTGTTATGTTATTAGAATATTTTAAAAAATCTCTTTGAGGGTCTGGGGATGTGGCTCAACTGGTAGCGCTTTCGCCTGGCATACGTGCAGCCCGGGTTCGATCCTCATACAAAGATGTTGTGTCTGCCGATAAGTAAAAAATAAATATTAAAATTCTCTCTCTCTTTAAAAAAAAAATTTCTTTGAGGATTTGTATGTAAGTTTTTCAATTTTCCCCCTTAAAATGCTTTACTATATGAACTGTCTATAACACTAGGAAACAAAATCTCTCATTTCTGTTTTTCTCCAAATTTCAAATTAAATTTCTCCAAATTCAGTTACTTCTTAGTCCCTTAGAAGGACTAGTAAAAAATTCATTCTGTCTTCTGGGACCCTGCTCCTCAGGGTCACATAAAACTTTCAGATTAAAATGATATCAGGGGGCTGGGGTTGTGGCTCAGTGGTAGAGCGCTTGCCTAGCATGTGTGAGGTACTGGGTTCGATCCCTAGCACCAAATAAACAAAGTAAAGGTATTGTATTCATCTACAACTAAAATATATGTATATATTTTATAAAAAAAAATGATATCAGAAAGCTAAGAGAGGGCCAGGACTCCCTGTCTATGTTTTTTGTTGTTGTTGTTGTTGTTTAAGTTTTCTATTTCTTTGCTATCTTTAATGTGCATATTGCTGTTTCAGGTGCCCTTGAAATGCCTCATACAAAGCCTGACAGTAGACTTGACAGCCCACAGCCATCATCTGACCTGGGGTGCTGCACCCTGGCAACACACTGGTTTCTTATACCCTATTTCTCACCTTTTCCCTAATTTGGAGTTTGTCTATTTCCATTCACCCTACTCAACATAGATCACTGCACACTCGTCTTATTTGGGATAATAAAACATAATTCCTTAAATAAGCCTTAAGAAACTACACTAAGTTCTCTTTTTTAGGATTAAAATAGCAAAAGAAGGTGCTAATACTAGTTGAGTGCTTTTTTTCTTCTTGATAAGATATTAAGTTTCCATTAAATTTGCCTCATTAGGAAGCCATTTGTCCAGACACATCCAAATGTATCTTCACCATCTGAGAATATGAATTTTCTCAGTATCTGGGCAGACAAATTATTGGGTTCTTCTCCCCCAGTAAGATCCTCAGTGAAGAGCAGAGAAGGAGCTTGTTAAGTTCTTGGCACACTCCTGTGAGAATAGAGAAGTCGATTCCAGTGGAAATGAAAGGACAGCAGTTAAGTTCCATGAAACACTGCCACTGCCGTCTACAGGTCTAGTTTTCTCCTAAGGCTTCCTAAAATCAAACTCACAAAGGCAACTGTTCCTGGTGTGCAGAGCCACTCTGCTCAGCCAGAGGGCCCTCTTAAACAAGGGACTGGCACGATGCAGAGAACAGACCTACTTCCAGGCCCCTGGGAGTCCAGCTCGTCCCCTGCCTGTGAACCTGCAGAGAAGCAACTCTGACAGGTCTGAATCTGCGGAATTTCCTCTGGAAGGGTGTGTCTGGCACTTGGCAGAAGGCTACAATGGCCACACACAGTTGAGTTACTGCAGGATGATGCTGGAGCATACCGGTCAGGCCACCACACACTCTAGCACACACTGCAATTCCCAAAGGAGGATGTTCAAAAGCAGCCAAGTAAACAGGTTTCAAAAATTTACTCTCATACTGAAAAGCAAAAGATGGGAAGACTTCAGCTCTTATTATGACAATGACAGTTACTCAGTAGCCACTGTAAAAATCAGAAAATAGTGAATATTTTTCAACTTGACTTCACTGAGTTGAGAGCAACCCCCCATATCTGGAATATGTATGCAGAAGCTTCCAGTCCCTCCTTCCCTCAAGCTGGAAGGAGCACAGCTGTTCTAGAACAGGGCGGCATCACAAGAGCATGGGAAGGGTGGAGAGTCTTAGAACAAAAGTGGTGAAACATGCACGAACTCAAATCACTCTGGGTCTGCATACAGCATACAGGACTGAGGTTTTTATCTTCCCAAGAAGTAACTGAAAGACTGTTAAAGCGGAGAACATGATCAGATGGGTTTAAAAAGCGACCTCCAAGGGCTGGGGCTGGGACTCAGTGGTAGAGTGCTTGCCTAGCACAAGTGAGGAACTGGGTTGGATCCTCAGCACCACATAAGAATAGATAGATAGATAAGGTATCGTGTCCATCTACAACTAAAAAAAAT